CCGAAGATTCCATTCTTTCCATGCGGTCTATGCGTACGGTGTACCTGCAGCCCGGGTTGTGGGCCTTCCCCGGTCTTGTCACGCGGGTAGGACAGTGCACGTTTGCTCTATGAAGAAGGCCGCAGGATCTCATGTCACCTTGCCATGGGTAAAAACAGTCTGAACCGTTAGTACGCAATGGTCTGTATAACCTAGACCAAGTGCGATTGTTTGTATGATATAGCGTAAATCATACTAAAACCTGCACACTTGTAATAATCGAGGCACCTCTGTTGGCCGTACCATCTCCAGGAATATATCCAATAGGAAGGATCACCAACAAAATGGGTCAATCCTGGGAGCTGTACCCAGTTCGGACAGCCCCTGCGTTGTCCCATCAAGTCTCAGGGGAGCGAGAAACTAAGGTACGGAAACTCCCCCAGTAATATCTCAGTGAGTATTTCTTGCGTGGGATACAGTGGTACGGACCCAGCAGATCCATTATAGGAGGTGAAATAGAGAAATCCAGTCTAAACATTTATAAGCTGCCCGATCAGGTAGCCCTCTATAGCGAAGTCAGTAGCCGGTCGTTAAATAAAATGGAGGGGTTCTCTCTTACCCAGTCGTTATGAAGTATCGTCTCCTTTGCATACCGGTGAGGTACTATACCCCTGTACAAGTGCTGAAGCATCAGCGGTAAACCCGTGACACGTACCTCCATATTGCATTGAATGTAGGAGGGATGCCCCTCTATGCAGACATTGTTGTCCTGTACTGGTACAAGCCTGTGTGCTGAGCAACGGGGAGGCACTGTAGTGCGTGAGTGCATGAGAGAGCCGCACTCTCTAATAATGTAATCAAACTTTGTGTCAGCAGCAGGCTGATAGTAGGAGCGGGCCGTACCCGTTATTAACAAAAGGTAGTGTCTACGTCCGTGTCCGGTTCTTTCTATGAGAGTGGGGCACACTCAGAACCTGTCTCCTGTATCCATCTCCGTATCGGACTGAGGATGGAGGAGGATCGCGCCCTCTAATAACGAATCAGTGTCCAGTTCTCTACTTGTGTAAATAAATATCAGTCTCAGGCCGAAGTGATGGAGGCTGCACCCTCTTGCAATCCAAACTAGAGTCCACATCAGACTCAGGGTGACCAACTGCAGGGTACACCATTTAATAATATCAGCGTAGGACTGAGGTCCTGAAGGGGGTCCCTCTGACCATGAGACCCCTCTCTGAATCACTCACCTGAGAGGTGGGATCAACTGGTAATAAACCAGACCAAAGGTAGATGAGGTAGTCTACGATCTCGAGCCGTGCCCATCTTTAATAACAGAAAGGGATGATGAGAGAAATTAACCTTCTGGAATAATTATGAAATCTACCAACGGACCGCCCGGATCCCGTGCGCGCGCTTGGGGTCCAGGATAACTCTCGGTAGTCTGAGGAAAGCTGGAGACGTTCTCCGCGATCCATGAGAGCCCGGGAGGTTGGAGGAGGTCAAGTCAGGCCTCTCGACGACCTGAGTAATAGGAAAATTGGAAGGCACGAAAAATATGATTAATAAAAGAGTGTATACAACCATAATAAAACAGTGAAGGAGAGAAATATGCAATGAAAAACCACAAAGACATAGTACCAAGTATGTTATCAAAAAGACCTGGAAGATCTATGGAGAAACACAAACAGGTTAAAACAATGAATAAAAAAAAACCAGGATTAAAAAAAAAGATTTAAAAAAAAAAAAAGTCAGTAATATTTTAAATTTCATAAGAAAGTGTAAAAAACAATAAAGAAATAACAAAATCTTAAGGGAATCAATCCATAAAAAACAGAATGTCTGAATCAGTATTCAGGCCATTAGGCACTGCCGTTTTGAGTTCGTATATCCATTCTGTTTCTTTCATTGCTAATAATGACATTTTCCCCTGGCTTGGTTTTATTCTTATTTTTTTCTATCTTTATTAATACCATTCCATAATTGATGTTTTTATACTTAAGATTAATTTGTGGACTCTATGTTCCCTTATTACAGAAAAGGGTCAACATTTAGATTCTAAACGATAAGCCCGTAGGTGCTGTTCGTGTGTGCTAACAATAAAGTTGGTCTTGCGTTACAGCATGGTGTGCGCATGTGCGGAAGCTGACGGAGGTATGTAATGACGTTCCCTCTGTAAATTAAGAATTTCCTGAAGAAGTCTTAATAGACGAAACGCGTTGAGCAAGTAAGAAGTTACCCCGGAAAGGTTACCAGCACAGTGTGATCCCAAGAACTCCAGCATCCAGAGATCTGCAGACTGTGGAGGAATTCCTACTTTTGCCGACCACTTGTATGTGGAGAAGTCTATCTGATATGCTGAACTTTCCACTATTGACTGGTATCCCTGGGGATTCAGCCTATTTGAGGCACACAGCGCATTTGCACACATTGATTCCATTCAATTGTTCCATTGATTTTGTGACTATTCCATTTGTTTGTTTTGTAACTATATTTGTCAATTAAAGTTTGCACTATGATCTTTTTTTTTCTCTTTTCCATGTGAGTTTTGTACGTTTCCAAAGATTTTGGTAACTATATCCACTCTATACCTTGTTAATGTGGAACCCTGTACTGTATTTTAACTCTTTGTATTTCCCTATGGAATGCTGCACATACAGAGTTTATCAGCTTTGCTTCTGGTAGTGTAACTGCACCTCCTGGGGCATCATCGAGGCATCAGTAGTTAACAAAAGTTTGGGCTGGTTAATGTCACTTCTTTATATATTGAATATATGACAACAGTATGCACAGAATGCTGGCAACAGGTGTTCAGTGGTGACACGCCCCTCCCCAGCCCCCTTCCTGAAGCTTGGCAACCCCCAACATCCTGCCACAACAGCTAGGGAGGAAAATCAGGCTTTGGGGAGAATTTTGTCTTAGCGCAGGAACAGACTAGATGGGCCGAAAGGTTCTTATCTGCGGTCACATTCTATGTTTCTATGTTAAATATTAAGTTAAATACACAATAAATAATATTAAGTAAAAGCAGAAACAGGTAGAGCATAGAGTCAGAGAAAGTTCCCTTTCCCCTCGCGTTTTGGTGCACCCAGAGCGGCACCTTCGTCAAGTCTGATCTCCATCTTTCCTGTCGAGTTAGCTTACCAGGGAGAGAGGGAACTTTCTCTAACTTTATGCTCTACTAGTTTCTGCTTTCATTTATTATTATTAATTGTGTATTTAACTTAATATTGAGTACAGCAGGCAGTACTTTATGATTGATGGATGTTGCCATAATCCGTTACTGCGTTTTGCAGGACACAATTCACTGTTTAGTAGATATGCCATGCGGTAGATTTTGTATGGCTCCCTCCAACAGCCTTGCATCTTGATTCCATTTAGATATTTCTTCCCCCCTCCCCTGAGATCTTCTTTATTGCTAATTTGTAGCATGTATCTGGACAGGATAAACATTTGGTGAGAGATTATCTGCAGGGTCTATACTTTTTCTGATTAAGTAGGATTTCTCCTTCCCCACTAAACCGGCAAACACAGTGTATCATCATTTCCACTGGATACATTTGGATCCATTGAGTTTGAAATACCTGAATCGATTGCTCTCTCATCGAGTAGTGTATTGTACATTGGAGCTTTGTCCTGTGGAATTAAAGGACCACTCTAGGCACCCAGACCACTTCAGCTTAATGAAGTGGTCTGGGTGCCAGGTCCTTCTAGGGTTAACCCATTTTTTTATAAACATAGCAGTTTCAGAGAAACTGCTATAATTATGAATGGGTTAAGCTTTCCCCTAATCCTCTAGTGGCTGTCTCATTGACAGCCACTAGAGGCGCTTGCGTGCTTCTCACTGTGATTTTCACAGTGAGAGCACGCCAGCGTCCATAGGAAAGCATTACGAATGCTTTCCTATGCGACCGACTGAATGCGCGCGCAGCTCTTGCCGCGCGTGCGCATTCAGCCGACTGGGAGGAGAGAAGGAGGATCGGAGGAGGAGAGCTCCCCGCCCAGCGCTGGAAAAAGGTAAGTTCCAGAGCCCCTTTCCAGAGCCGGGCGGGAGGGGGACCCTGAGGGTGGGGGCACCCTCAGGGCACTATAGTGCCAGGAAAACGAGTATGTTTTCCTGGCACTATAGTGGTCCTTTAAAGCCTTTTGATTTGGCTCCACCTTGTGATTATATTAAGGTTCTACACTACTGTAGCTTTTATATTAGATATGTTGAGATTTTCTGATCTATTTATACTTATTAATTAAACCGCAGGCAGTTTTAATGAAACAAACAAAATTAAAAATTAAAACTGCCAGCGGCTTCAACACCTCGAGTGCATGGAGAATTTCTTGTGTTGCAATAAATTATAATAGTGACACTGCAATTCCATGTTACACTGCCATAGTCACTCCGGTTCTGTCACTGTTCCTCCCATTCCTCGAATTGTGTCCTAATTACCCCATATTATTACAGGCCCCTAATTATGTCCCAGGATCTGTTTACCATCATGTGTCCTTCCCATCATTCTCAAACCATTCTATTTAATTTCCTATAATTCTCGAACCATTCCATTTAATTTCCTATAATTATTTTAAAAATCTATTTAATTTCCTATATTTATTTTAAAAATCTATTTAATTTCCTATAATTATTTTAATAATCCATTTAATTTCCTATAATTATTTTTAAAATCTATTTAATTTCCTATAATTCTCGAACCATTCAATTTCTTTCCATGATATTCCCTTACCCTTAAACCTGTTTCCCATCACATCCCCATCCCATAAGCGTTTCCACCTAGGACCTGTTTCCCATCTAGCATCCAGTCCACGGTGTTCCTTTCACACAATCTCTCCTTCCTATCATATGCTGCCATTATGATATCCATTATCATCATGTGTCCTTTCCAAGGGATCCTCCTTACTTATTCCACATATAATGGATACTTCATCCTGAGATATTGAGAAGACAATATCCAGACTCACCAGTGCTTAGTACGGTTTCATCCATGATGGTCTTCTCCCAAAACCATTTTATAAAACCACTTTGCTATTCTAACTCTGTTTGCTCTGGTTGACTCCTCTTTCTTTTGGCGTAATAAGGATTCAGTCAAGCTGGGTGTACATATAATAGGGCTGTATTTTTGTGGGCTCAGACAAAGGCTTAAGGGTCAGAACAGTCCAGACTGCAGTTCCTTTTATTTGGGTGCTTTCACTTTGCTCTCCTTCTTCACGGGTGCCAGCCGCAGGCATCTCCCCGGGGCCTCGCCAACAACTCCTCCGGGAAATGAGGGGAACGTGCACTCACTCTGTAGAGACATATGTTGTGCTGAAACTATATATTGCAATCTCTCGTATACAAAATGAGGCAATATCCAACACAACCTATTACAAATACAGTACATCATCCCATCTAGATTGCAAACTTTTAGTACAATTTAAAATTTTTGTCATAGAACATTAATTTATCACCAACTTTAAGGTACTGATCAGCACAAATTTCTAATAATGATAATCATGCCCTTTAACTGAGCACATATATAACAATATTGTGTGATTGTTCAGAAAAAGAATCCCTAGCCTGGAGTCCCAGTGGACCCCTTTTTCTCGCAGTGTCACATGCTTTGCGAAAAAACCAATATTTAGACCTGTAACAATAATCTGGGTAAGTTCTAAACCACTTGACCACATGAATGATAATTCTTCACTAGACCCCATTCTTCATACTTGATCTTCATACACCACAATCTACAGCCACCCAATTTACTGCGTGATATCATTGTTAAATAATTACCCAAAGCATTGCTGCCCATCATAACTTGACAATTACCCAATTATTTCTGCCTCCTATAACTTCATGATTAGCTCATACACTGTTCTCGATCGTCTCTCCGTTATTACACAATACACAGCGTCCTATCGTCTCTCCGTTATTACACAATACACAGTGTCCTATTGTCTCTCCGTTATTACACAATACACAGCGTCCTATCGTCTCTCCGTTATTACACAATACACAGCGTCCTATCGTCTCTCCGTTATTACACAATACACAGCGTCCTATCGTCTCTCCGTTATTATACAATACACAGCGTCCTATCGTCTCTCCGTTATTATACAATACACAGCGTCCTATCGTCTATCCGTTATTATACAATATACAGCGTTCTATCGTCTCTCCGTTATTACACAATATACAGCGTTCTATCGTCTCTCCGTTATTATACAATACACAGCGTCCTATTGTCTCTCCGTTATTACACAATATACAGCGTTCTATCGTCTCTCCGTTATTACACAATACACAGCGTCCTATCGTCTCTCCGTTATTACACTATGCACAGCGTCCTATCGTCTCTCCGTTATTATACAATACACAGTGTCCTATCGTCTCTCCGTTATTACACAATACACAGCGTCCTATCGTCTCTCCGTTATTACACAATATACAGCGTTCTATCGTCTCTCCGTTATTACACAATACACTCGTCTCTCCGTTATTACACAATACACAGTGTCCTATCGTCTCTCCGTTATTACACAATACACAGTGTCCTATCGTCTCTCCGTTATTACACAATACACAGCGTCCTGTCGTCTCTCTGTTATTACACAATACACAGCATCCTATCATCTCTCCGTTATTACACAATACACAGTGTCCGATCGTCTCTTTGTTATTACACAATACACAGCTGTGGCGGACCGCCTGGTACCCCGACTAGGTACTTCCGCCAACTCACACTTCCTAGTTATCACCGAGTACTATAAGCACTGCACCAGGACACCATAAGCACTTCCAGTCCCTAGCTGCCACATCTCGGCTGGGGTCTCCCCGTCTCTGCCAATCCTGGACCATCCAGCTCCCAGAGAGTATAGCAGATATAGCAAGTATAGCTGTTCTCCCCATACATGAGCCAAGGCTTAATGCTGTGAAGTAGTCTGTTTAATGGCAGCAGAGTTACAGAATTTATACAAGTAACAAACTCCTCCCCTGTGCCTGAGAGATAATTGAGTCAGGAACTGTACAAACTCAATTATTTCCAGGTACAGAAAAACATACAATTTACAAACACTCCAAAAGTACCCCTAAAACACAAACAAAAACCCCACAAAAGTCACATCCCCTGATAGCCCCGATCTGGGTGACCAACGTATCCAAAAATAACCCAGATTGGTCCAGGGGTTCGGGTTTTTCATGGCAGTCATAATTTGACCGACCGCACACATGGTCCTATGCCCAAAACAGTTCCAGGGAAAAAGTGGTAGCGGTTGATCAAGTTCAGTAGTTTAAAAAATGAACAAACTACCGAATGTAGTCAATAATCATACCGTGTAGCTTGTTCCCCTCATCCAGACGAACGATTCCAACAGTGCCCTTCCAGGTGGTGTAGAAACAAATGCAGGCGATAATGGAAGTCTAGCGGTGTTTGGGAGTTTCAGTGTCTGATTTCAGTACCATGAACTCGACGTCCAAACAATATGGCTGCCACCTCGTGGTTGTTCATACGAACTGCGGCCACCCAGATGAACAATTAGAACAATGCGGTTAGATTTGTTAAGAGGTGATGATAGGCTCCAGGGTGGTCCATAGTTTGTGCGTCTGTTCGGTTTCAGTCCAGCATGGGAAAATGGCACGAACTAAGTCTTTTCATATGGCTTTTACAGGGCTCATAGTCCAGGGGCAAGAGGCTGGCAAGCAGGCTCCTCCAGGCGCCCATGGCGAGGTTACTTTCACCACAACAGCGTCCGATTGTCTCTCTGTTATTACATCATACACAGTGTTCGATCGTCTCTCTGTTATTACACAATACACAGCGTCCGATTGTCTCTCCATTATTATACAATACACAGCGTCCTATCGTCTCTCCGTTATTACACAATACACAGCTATGGCAGAACCACTGCCTATTCATGGATTTCCCTTTTCTTTCACATGTATTTTCCCTTTTTCGTTTGTTATGCCCGCTCTCCGCTCTGGAGGACATTCACCTCCCGAATGGAGACTACCCCAATACCTCATTTAGAATGTTAGTATAGCATGTTCACACCTCCCAATCTCCTCGCAACATAAGTTTCAAAATTGCAAGGGAAACAATTAATGAGTGCTTCCCTGGGTGGCCGCCATTCGTACAGGCGAACGCCACCAGGGGGAGCATTCGTGGATTGTTTCTCGACTCGTTCGTATCCTGAACGAGGGCCTCCCCGGTGACCCATTAGAACATTCACACTAATTATTCAGAACACTAGCGCCCGCAACATAGGTGTAAATCATCAATGAGTGCTCTCCTGGGTGGCCGCCATTCGTACAGAACGCCATCCAGGGGGAGCATTCGGACCGGGAAAGGAGAAGCTTCCCTTGTCATGGTTTCACACCAGGACCTCGCGAGCGGAGACTAGTCAATCGAGAGACTAAGGCGAGGATACCTGAGATTGGTATGGACACTTCTGAGGCACTGGCGAGTTTGGTGGGCTCTCATGAGACCGATGGACAAAGAGACCAGCTCTTTTCCCGCGGGCGAAGTTTTCTGTGCTTGGGAGACAAAGGGATGGTCTCTTTTTCCCACGCCTAGACTCCCAGGCACAGAGGCGGTTGGTGTGGGGAACCCCAGGTGGCGGGCTTTGGGGACAAAGGGAACAGAGTCCCTTCCCGTGCTGGGACCTCGGGGAGGGGAAGGATTGTGGGATGTGTCTTTGTAGGTGTGTGTGCATAAAAGCCACGTGTGGCTAATAAAATCGTGTTACTGGGGCGGAAATGGGTCCCTTTACACTCTGAGTGGTTCCTAAGGGGCTGAAGGCAAGGAATTAGTGTAGGTAACAGGTCGGGTTAGCAGGGGTCCGCTACAACAGTGTCCTATCATCTCTCCGTTATTACACAATACACAGCATCAGATCGTCTCTCCGTTATTACACAATACACAGCGTCAGATCGTCTCTCCGTTATTACACAATACACAGCGTCAGATCGTCTCTCCGTTATTACACAATACACAGCATCAGATCGTCTCTCCGTTTTTACACAATACACAGTGTCCTGTTGTCTCTCTGTTATTACACAATACACAGCGTCCTATCGTCTCTCCGTTATTACACAGTACACAGTGTCAGATCGTCTCTCCGTTATTACACAATACACAGTACCATATTTGTTACTCCATAATTCCTCCATACACAGCTACCCATCATTACTACATAGTTACACAATGCACAGTGCCTTATCTCACCATGGATTCCTCTCTCCCTCTCACCTCTATTACTCTATTTACCGCTTACGTGGCCTTTGCTACTTTGGTACGTTTCATCCTCTTTCTCCGCATCAGAGTGACCTGAGGTCGTTTTAAACCAGCGATGAACAGGAGTAGCCGGGGACGTGATTTGGTGAGCCAGCTCCTTAGGAGAGTCCCCTTAGGTAACCTAAAATGTAAGAGGATACAATGTAAAATGAACACAGACAGTTCCTCTCTTTTACGCATAGATCCTGCCTCCTAAAATAGCTTTCCAACATAACTTTACATCAGAAATGGATATATTAACTGTAAACAAATACCAAGCCTGGGTCTCTTTTTTTTTTACATTTAAATGTTTGGAATTAATAGGAATTAAAACCAAAAATCTAAATTGGAAGGTTGATAGTAGCAAATAATCCTGTTAGAAATGTCAGTAATTTGATCTATAGCATCAACAACGAAACAAGAAGAGTCGGGAACGCAAAGTCAAACGATAGAGAAGTTGAAATTCAGATTTTTAAGAAGGTGGAGCAATGGTGGGTGAAACAGTTTATCTGAAAAGGGCTTTCAGAAACAGAATGTGATGGCAGATAAGAACCTTTTGGCCGATCTAGTCTTCCCAATTTTCTAAAAACTCTCATTAGTCCCTGTTGTTATCTTATAGTTAGGATAGCCTTATGCCTATCCCACGCATGCTTAAACTCTTTCACTGTGTTAACCTCTACCACTTCAGCTGGAAGGCTGTTCCATGCATCCACTACCCTCTCAGTAAAGTAATACTTCCTGATGTTATTTTTTTTGTAAATTCTTTATTTTGGTGGTTTTCAGTATTTGAAAGAAGTTGGGGTACAGAATAAAGATAAGGGGTGGGGTAGCAAACATTGTAGTTACAGTTGAGTTTAGTAGCTTAATACATTGTAGATTACATAATTTATTTACAGCAATTGTACTTTTGTTTATATTAGGACCAGAGTGGTCTACATCTTGGGTTTTTACCCTCCTCTTGCATGGGGGGGGGGAGGGGTGTTTCCATTTGCCTGATATTATTTTTAAACCTTTGCCCATCTAATTTAAGACTATGTCCTCTTGTTGTGGTAGTTTTTCTTCTTTTAAATATAGTCTCCTCCTTTACTGTGTTGATTCCCTTTATGTATTTAAATGTTTCTATCATATCCCCCGTAACGGATTCCCTATACTGCGACTAAGTAAAACATAAAATATTAAAAATACATGTAACACATATACACATATTAAAGTCTCCCATGTCCCGAAGTGATGCCGTGATTATAGCTCAGGTATACCCAAACATCAGCCAAGACTTGATGAGGGGTACAAGAAGACAAGAAGGTTTATTATAGCCCAGTGGCCAGCTTATATACACAGACCCCCAGCATGGGGTCTCCAGCAGTAACATTGTAAACCACTCCCACAACACGCCCAAGACACTCCCACAACACGCCCAGGAGTCTCTGTGTCTGGGAGATAATTTAGTGTACTTTGCTCAAACTAATTATCTCCCAGGCACTAGTGTTACAAAGTGTGGCGGACTGTCTGGCCCCCCAGACTGAGTACCTCTGCCAATCGAGCTTTCTAGTGTCACTGAGTACTATAAGCACCGTACCAGACACCACTTCCTGCGTTCATGTGAACAAGATGGCAGCCACCTTGTGGTCATTCATACAAATTGCTACCACCCACATGAACAATTATAACACCAGGTGTCAATACGGTTTAACAAGCTTCCGGGCGGTCCATAGTTCATGCGTCTGTTCGGTTCCTGAACAGTATAAGGACATCTCACGAACAGAGTCTTTTAACAGGGATTTTGCAGGGCCCAAAGTCTTTGGGAAGGAGGCTAGCTAGCAGGCCCCTCCAGAAATACGTGGCAGAGGCATTTCTGCCACACATCTCCCCCACCCAAGGGATGACTAACCAGTTACCTGCCCTCCTGCCGGTCAGTCAAGCAGCCTGAGCTAGTCAAGCAGCCCACCCAAAAGCAAATAGCTGACCTGGCAGCCTCCTGTTCCATGCTCTGCCTGGTCAGTTCCAGGGTGCTGTGTGAGTGATGTTCACCAGCTCCAGTGTCTCCCAAGTACCCTGTTGTGGGGCTGTCTGTGCTTAGTGGGCAGAGGCCAGCAGCACTTTACCCCGTAGCCAGCTCTTCAGCTGAGTTGGCCTGTTTGTAATCAGGCCCTGGACAAAAGAAAAGGGGAGGGCAGAGGCCAACTGCGCTCTGCTCGGATGCCAGTGCTGCTGCTGGGGTGGCCTGTGGGTAGTCAGCCTCTGGAATAATGGGACAGGAAGGGCAGAGGCCAGCTGTGTTCTACCCTGATGCCAGCTCTTCTGCTGGGAGGGTATCTGCCGTCCCATTCACGGCCCAGGGCTCGGTTGGGGATCCGCTGCTGGGAAGAGGGATTGAACACTTCCTCCGCCTGGACGACACCCTCTTCTCCAAGGCTCTCACCATGCTGTTGTGGGGAAGGAGCACCTGTATTCTCCTCTAGGGCTGTATCCGGGTGTTGAGGATCTGGGACGGCTGCCCAGCATCCCTGTAGGTCTGTGTAGCGAAACGCTGGTCTCTCACAGACTATTTCCGCTGGTAGTCCAGGTGTGGCTCGGGAACAAGTAGTAACCCCAGGAGAAACATCCACATCCACAGTAACATCCACAGTAATAGAATAATCTAACAGCGTAGCAAGCACAATCAGCAATACAATTCAATAGTATCCCATCACCTTTCCCAATAACTGGGCGACACACAGTATCAGGAGCAGAACTGAAGCTTTTAATCAAACACTCTGCTTTTATGCACATTCTTACACAGAAAGGACATGCCCACAGGGTTTTGAAGAACAACCAATCAATATGTTACAAGAGCTAAACACTCCCATTCATGACATCAGAAATCCTCCCCTCTGCCTGTGATACAATTATCTCAACACAATAGACTAACTTAATTATCACAGGCAGAAAATATACAGTTTTTACACACATGCTGTAACTTTAAAAATATACATCCAATCTTCCTAAAACATACATTTTCAGAATCAGCATACTGATGAAATATAAACATACTCAAAAATTAAGTCAATCGGTTCAGGGGTTAAAAAGTTAGGTGGAGGTCCCTTTAGGACCACGGAAGCATGGCTTTCCAGCCCAAACCAGTTCCAACTAGTCTGGCAGTGTGCCTGGGACATCGCCTTGCTGGAGAACAATGGAACAGGGAAACGGGGGAGGGGTACACCTTCCTAACCCCAATCTATACACAGTCTAATAGAAGTCCATACACTGTGCTTAAAGGGCCAGTAGCCACATAATAAAAATCCATTATGCCCAAAGATCTTCTTAAAAGGCAATACATCCCAGGGACCGTAGTCACAGGGCAGGAGGCGGGCAAGCAGCCCCCCTCCAAAAACTCATGGCAAACTCCTTTAAAGGGGCGAGTTTGCTACAGTCTGGTGCAGAGACCTCGGTCCCATCTGCACCATCCGCTCCAGTTGTCCGGTCTCCGGATAACCGCCGCCGCCGCTGGGGAGTGGGACTGATTGTCCCCACTCCCATGAGCTCCTACTGTAGTTGGGGAAAAGAACCTGCTGTTCCTCTCCAGGTACCTCCGGCACACAAATGAACAACTGCATGCAAATTCCAAGACTACATACAAATACACTACTACATTCAAAAACACACATACTCCATGCAAAAACATGCTTACATACAAACACACATTCACTGCTCACAAATACAACACTGCTAGGATTGGTAAATGGCAAAGCATTGTAGGCGTGTCACAATAGTGAACGATCTACCTTTTTTAGCCATTGTTGCGCTAGAGGGGCCCAAAAATAATTCTTGCATCAGGACCCTCTCTTTATTAGTTCCACCACTGAGTATAGCCCCCAACCCACTGATCCACATTTATTTCATGCATAATACATACAGTATAATGAATTAAAGATGTGCTGAAACATACGTTAAATTAAAGATAAATATAAATTGACACAGAATCTCGTGTGAGCATGTATTTTGCCATCATGTACCTGCTTGTGTTTTTAATGGTGCACCATGCAGGAGTGCATTGAGCGCTATCTGGGATTATCGCATCTAAACCTCCAAAGTTCACATTCTGTATCAATATTGTGTATATTTAACTCTATATGTGTGATGGGGTGATTGCAGCACCAGGGTTTTATTTCTTACCAATTCCTTGCACTTATTGTTATTTCTAAAATGAAAGTATGCTTATCTGTGAAATGAACTCTTTTACAGTAAATGCTTTATTTACTGGTTGCTGTTTGGTGCAATCAGCCTTCTGGGGAGGGGGGGTACAATGCCTCTAGTTCTTAAAGTTTCAGTTTCCAATGATTTGCAATGGTTTTCTTATTTATGCTGGGAAGGGAGCATGAATGACCTAGATTACACCTCTTTTAAAAGTGAAGAAAAGCCTGAGCAAGGTGCTCACTGGATTATTCACTAAAGTGACAATTTTGGGGAATTTAAAGTAAATTCAAACTAAATTTCAAATTTAAGGCCACATTATCCAAACTGTAAAAATTCTCCAAGTCAGCTATACTTCCAGTTCAGTCATTTCACTAAATGACCTTGATCTATATTTCCATCTATGGCAATTCATGACTTAAACTGCTTTGACATCAATAACTGTGAGGAAAGCTTCTGTCCCATTCTGGTGGATGCTGTTATAGCCTCCTGTGGCAAATGAGTAGAGAAAAGAAAAACGTCTTCAGAGTATGCAAGGTGTTATAGCATTTTGGATTCCCTCCTACGGGTCATGGGTTACATAGATTCCTACCTATGGGCCATGGCGCACAGGGATTCTCTCCTATGGGGTATGAGGAATTCCTCACGTGGGCCATAGGGTACAAACATTTTCTTCTGTGTGTCATAGGGTGTAGGGATTTACTCATAAGGGGTATTGGGTACAGGGGTTCCCTCCTATGGGTATTGTGGTATAGGGATTTGCTCCTATTTGTCATGGGGTACAAGGATTCTGTCATATAAGAAATGGGGTATAGGGATTCACTCCTATGGGTCATGGGGTGTAGAGATTCCTTCCTATGTGTATTGTGGTATAGGGATTTGCTCCTATAGCTCATAGGGTGTAGGGATTCCTTCGTATGGGTCATAGAGTGTAGGGATTCCTTCGTATGGGTCATAGAGTGTAGGGATTCCTTCGTATGGGTCATAGGGTGTAGGGATTCCTTCATATGGGTCATAGAGTGTAGGGATTCCTTTGTATGGGTCATAGGGTGTAGGGATTCCTTCGTATGGGTCATAGGGTGTAGGGATTCCTTCGTATGGGTCATAGGGTGTAGGGATTCCTTCATATGGGTCATAGGGTGTTGGGATTCCTTCGTATGGGTCATAGAGTGTAGGGATTCCTTCATATGGGTCATAGGGTGTTGGGATTCCTTTGTATGGGTCATAGAGTGTAGGGATTCCTTTGTATGGGTCATAGGGTGTTGGGATTCCTTCGTATGGGTCATAGGGTGTAGGGATTCCCTCCTATGGAGTATTGGTTACAGGGATTCCTTTGTAAGCGAAATGGGGTAAGGGATTCTGTCGTATGAGAAATGGGGTATAGCAATTCCCTAGTATGGGACATAGAGTGTAGGGATTCACTCCTATGGGGCATTGGGTACAGGGATTATGTCCCTTATGATATAGAAAACAGGAATTCCCTCCTATGCAACATCATGTACAGGGATTTACTGCTATGGTCGTGGGGTACGGGGCCTTACTCCCATTGGTCACTGGGGCATCTGTCCTATGATAAATAGGATACAGAAATTCACTTATATGGGTCATGGAATACACGGAATAACTCCAGTTGGTCATTGGGTACAGGGATTACCTCCTATGGGTCATAGAGTACCAGGATAAGCTCCTATGTGTCAGGGGTACAGGGAATCGCTCCAAATGGTCATTAGCTACAGGGATTATTGTGACAAATGCTCCTTACCTTGGACGTTTGTCACAAACACCTGGAGGAGCTTGCTAGCTACATTCAAAGACCCTGTTCGGGAGTTAAATCTCCCCAGCCTCCATTACCATCTTTCCCTGGGTGCCCCTGGTTCAGAACTTTCCTTCATTCGAAAGGAACCGAACACTAGCTCCCTGGCGGCCGTTCGCATGAAGAAATTCACAAATTGTCCTCAGCGATAATTAGCCGCGATTGTTGTGGAACTAAATTTGGCATAAGGACTATGTGGGTTACTGGTCACCTCAGCGAGACTTAGCTGCGAATGTTATGGAACTGTTTTCAGCATGAGGTGACTGTGCAGCTCCCGGACAACTTGGTCCAGGGTTTTGAACGACTTTGAAATCCGCAAGGAGAGCGCTTTTTGGAGGGAAGGTGCCTGACACTATGGGGAACAAACGCTATGCGAGACCCAGGTGGCGCACCCTGTATTGTGGCCACAGGAGCTCCTAAAAGTTTACCGGCCAAAGCACCAAACACTCTGGAACTGTTTTGGGCATAGGACCATGTGTGCGGCCAGTCAGAACTTTGACACAGTGGTGTTTCCCCTCCACTACATAGATCTGAGCTCTGTTTGGAGAACTTGGGCGCTCAGATCATGGCTATCTAATAATATAATATTTGTGGGGGTTCCTCTCTGTCTTATATGTGTTTTTATGTATTTTTTATATTTTATGCACAGTCATGCTGACTAAGAAACCCATGGGCGTGTTGTGGGAGTGTTTGACTGTGTCCCTGATGTGTATAAAAGCAGGCCATCTGGCCTTTCCTGTTGTATCCTTCATCAAGTCTAGGCTGATGTTTGGGTAGCTCAGAGCTTTAATCACTGCTTCACTTGGAATTTGGGAGAACTACAGCGGATATACTCAGTCGGAGTATAGGGGATCCGTTACAATTGTGTTCTATGAGAAATATGTACCATTCCTTTCGTAGATTTTTTAATTTATACATTCAGGAGTTGCTGTATCCGAACACACTGTATTCGACAACCGAACGAGGACCACCCCTGTACCCAACTAGAACGTTTACACAAACAACTTAAGTGCAAAACCGCAAGGGAAGTAATTAATTAATGCTTCCCCTGGGTGGCCGTTATTTCAGGTAACCGAATGCACATGGTCAACAAAAGAATGGCGGCCATTTTGTCTCCCGAACATGGTCAGTGGTACTACGTTGAGTGCCGGCTGGGCACTCGAACGAACTCCGGTAAAGATTATACTACTGCCCGTCCTACTTCCCGACCAGCTATGCGAACAACGCTTGGGAGATGGGAACTACTAAGTGGGGGGAGCATTCACTTCCTGAAATTAGAGGAATCCCTTGTACGGTGTTTGCACAGGAACCCCTGAACAGAAAACGTCTGGGGCACCCATTTCTCTGGAACTGTTTTGGGTCATCACCTCGTGGCCGGCCTATCGAAACTTTACCCTTGTGGCAATCCAATTCTGCCAAACAGGTCTGATTGATACTTGGCCAAGGTGGACACTCAGACCAGAGCTATCTGGGGATGTACTTTTGTGGGAATCCTGGTTATACTGGGGGAACGTTTGTGGGATTGTATATTTTGGGTATATTTTTCTGTAATTGAGAGATAATTGAGTTATACTTTTCTCACTCAATTATCTCTCAGACACAGAGGCTCTTGGGAGAAAAAAATTCTATTGTGTTGGAGACCCCATGCTAGGGGTCAGTGCATAAAAGTGTGTGTGACAAAAATAAAACCAGTTGACTTCCAGAACTATGTATTGTCTAGTTACTGAGGAAATGGATGCTTGAGTATTTAATGGTTCCAGTCGGGCTGAGTGAAGGAATTAGTGTAGGTAACCAGTCGGTTACCTGGGGTCCGCTACAACTGGAACTAGCAGCGGGGCGACTATGACAATAGCCAATGAAACAGAATTGCAACGCGAGATTCGGATTCGCGTAGTTTACTATGGAGGCGATCCATTTGAGGAGATCATGGCCCAAACACTCTCAGAGGTACAAGCGTACATTTTGGCGAAAGGTGATTGTGAAAACCAACTCCAACTCGCCAAATGGAGAGCTCTCGAACTACCATCAGTCATTTCACCAATTCCCAAACAGAGACTCAAAATCCCATATCATGCATTTAAAACATTTCCTGAATCAGATGAGGACATTGACAAATTCCTACAGGATTTTGAACGTTTATGTCATTTACATGCAATAGCCCTTACAGACTGGGTCCCTCCCTAGCGGGAAAATTGAGGTGAAAAGCTGCGAACGCCTACAGAGCCATTCCTGACGCAGAGTTACTCTCGTCAGCGCCTGTCTGTACATTCTGACCATTGTGGACTACACTACCCGTTACCCCAAAGAAGTGGTCCTGAGTAATATCCAAGCGGAAACTATAGCTGAGGCGCTGATGCGAGTCTTCTCCCGCATGGGTTTTTCCACGGGAGATTGTCTTGGATCAGGGCACCCAGTTCACTACCGAAACAACCCACCAATTGTTTAAACTATGTGGTATTAAAGAGTTCCCCCTATCACCCCCAGACTAATGTCCTGTGCGAGCAGTTCAACTGCACGTTAAAGCAGATGCTCCATACGTTTACAGCCACCTGCAAAGAATGGGAAAGAATCCTACTGTGACGGAACGCCGTCACTGCGTACCATGCCCACATGCTTGCCTGCTTATGGGGTTCAGGTCAGGGCTATTTAACAATGTATTGCTTGTCTGTGCCTCTCACCCTCCCCCTTCCTTTTCTGAATGTATTGCTTGTCTGTGCCTCTCCGCCTCCCCCTTCCTTTTCTGAATGTGTTGCTTGTCTGTGCCTAACAAACCATGTGATTTCTCTGTACCTGAGAGGGGATTGGATTGCCTCTCAGGCACATAGGATTATGGGAGGGATGACCGTGTAATGTTGTGTTAGAGACCCCTTGCATGGGGCTTTTGCATAAGAAGGCCGTGTGTGGCCCTGAATAAAGACAGTCTACTCCCAGCATTAAGCCTCGGCTAATGTGTGCGGGGAACAGCTATACTTGCTCTTTTCTCTCTGGAGAAGAGCTCGAACCACTGGGAGCTGGATCCAGGGCTTGGGTCCAGGGTGGGAAGAGGCAGCGAGACCCCAGCCAAGCTGTCGTGGCTAGGGGCTGGAAGTGCTTATGGTGTCCCGGCGAAGTTCTTATGATACTCGGTGGTAACTGGGAAGTGTGATTGGCAGAGGTACCGAGTCGGGGTACCAGGCGGTCCACCACACCTACATCACCTCCTGTTCGCTTATCCCAACAGGCTTCTCCCTGTTCAAATTACTATTCAGACGGAGGGTAAGAGGACCCCTAGATCTTGTGAGAGAACACTGTGAGGGAGAAGTAGACCAGGAGGGCACCCCCATTATTCCATATGTGTTGAAACTTCGGAACCGACTGGAGGAACTCACTCAGTATGTGAGAACCTCCAGGCAGCCCAGGAACTCCAGCTCACCTGGTATGATCGAAGAGCCGTAGCTTTCAAGTCAGACCGAAGGTTCTGGTTTTAAAAACCCGTCCAACATGACAGGCTCCAGGCTGCTTGGCAGGGCCCCTATCAGGTAGTGGAAGAGAAATGTGACACTACCTATGTTATTGGTCCATTCTCTAGGGAAGGAGTCCAACACATGTTACATGTTATCTCGCCACATTGCATTGGAGAAGCCTGGTTGCTCGCCTGTTGCCTTTGGATTATGGCCCCATGTTAAAAGGCTTGATTTTCCCCTGCAAAGACAAGAAAGCCAGGTCATTTGGTGCTTGCCCTGTTTGAGCAGCGATACCCCAGATAGCTATGCCATGGAGCCCGTTCGTATAATGAAAGACTATGGGAAAGACTTTGGCCCCATGGCAATTGAACTGTATGTTTGTGCTCTGGGCGCCATTCAGTAATAATGTGCGCTCAGACCTAAGCTATCTGGGCATATGTTGCATGTCTGTATTTTATGTCAGAAATGTAACCTTGTGTATTTTATTGTATTTTACTGTCTTTTTTCTGCCATGTGTTCAATGGAGTTTTGCCTCTGTCTTTGGAGATAATTGGATTACTTCTAATTATCTCCAAGATAGAAGACCCTGTGGAACTGGTTTTGGGCAGAAAAGCCATGCTTCCTGTGGTCACAAAGGACTACGATCTATCTTTTGAACCACTGGACCAATTTGTATGATTTTGACGTATGTTTGTATTTGGAGTATGCTGATTCTGAAAATGTAAGTTTTATGTGAATGTGATGCATACTTTTCAAGTTATGAATAATGTGGAAAAATTGTATTTCTCTGCTTGTTCTAAATTACATTACCCATTGTGTAAGGTAATTGAATCACATGCAGAGGGGAGGAATTTGTGTGGGAGTGTTTGAGTGTATTGTATGTGTTTATTGGTTGTGTTCCAAAACCCTGTGGGTGGTACTAATGTGTAAGAATGTGTACATAAGCACAATAAACCCACAGCTCTGTCTGTTCACTGCTTGACCCTCAACACGGAGCTTTGTCTCGTTCTTGGGGGGATTTATTGTATGCTGTTCCAGTTTGACTGCTAGAAGTGTAAACCTAGTCGTATGGTTTTTCCTATTCGGCTGTTTACAGCATTCATATGGTTTCCTGTTCGGCGGATTGGTGTTCTGCAGTAGCTGTGCCTGCATCTCTGGAAAGGGGGACGATCGCCTAAACGTTTTTACCCCTTGTGTGCTGAAACGGTCCGTTACACCTACCATGAGTGGACAGAGGATGTAGCCATACTATATGTGCTCCCGCCTCGGAAGATTTTAATAATCTTCCCCTCCCTCATCTCCTAGAAAATGGAGTTCAGGTAGGATCCATAGATGAGGTCCAATTAGGGGAC